ATTGCTAATTCTGATTGGTCAAATCATATGATGTTTATATGTAAATCATATGATATCATATAAAATTAGTTACACAATATTGATCTACAATCTATTTTATATGAAATTGGAAATTTATATACCCTACCCTTAAAAATTATGAGATTTGTTAAATATTTATATAGTTTTAAGAATTATTTTTATAAAATTTGATTGCTTTTAAAAATATTTGCTATAATCTGTTTTTGTTTTTTTGATGCCAAACAAATTCTTGAAGATATGATATAATTGTATTAAAATTTCTATTTCGCATTAAAATATTTAATTTTATTCCATTCTATAAACCTAATTTATTAATAGTTTATTAATTTATTTTATATTTAAATTAATAAAATTAAAATTTTATTTACCTTCTATGGTATTGTTATAAATTTTTCTTAATTTTTGTCTTTATGTTAATTGTTTTGAATGATTTATATGAATATGTTTCATTTCTAATTTTTTAAATTCTGGTAGCCACACCAACTATCTGAATAGATTCTTGTTTCTGGAATGATATGTTTTCTTATTATTTTTGTAAGAATATTTGTATTTCTATCTTGTATAACTTCAAAATAACATTTGTTTGATTTTCGTTCAGTCAATCCTACAACCCACCTTGAAATATCTTTTTTAAATTTAGATTCATCAATTTCTATAATTTTACGTACTCCTCCTAGCCTGCTATCATCAACTATTAATGTGTTTATTATTAAATTACAAAATATTTTTGTATATTTTTTAATTGATTTTGGTGACAATCTCATCAAATATCTAAGTGTTGTATATCGTGTCTTTGAAATTTAAAAATAACCAAGTAATAAAATCTAATTGCTTTTTAAACATCTTTTACAAAAGAATGAATTATAATATATTGAGATTGTTTTATTACAATTTGTGTTTTTACATATCCATAAATTGTATCGACAGTAAAATTCAGTATTGTTATATTTTGAACAACTATTTAGTTGTTTATTAATAAGTTAGTTTTCTAAAAAAAATTCAATACACCTTTTTTCATTAAATAATATTTCTTGAATTGTATTTATTTTAGGAATTGATATGTTTTTTATAATAAAAAATTTATTTTTTTGCTATTTATAAAATATTTTTAATATTTTTTTTTTAATTCAGCAATCCTGCCTCTGTTTATTTGAGATTAAGCTATTCAAGAATTATATATTTCTATCTGTAGCTATTGCTAATCTAATCAAACTAGAGACTCACCCTTGGCTTACATCCAGATGCAACCTGCCTCAGTAGTCTTTGGCCTCCCTCTGGATTCTTAACTCACTAAGGATTTGATTCCTTCGGTCACAAGCTGGTGACTACTCGCTTTGTTAGTACTGCTATTTAAATCTGTTTTAACTTTACATTTTAACCATGATAACCAATCTGGTTTTCTACCATCTCATACTAGGTTTTCCATATTTTTGAATGCTACTGCTCTTGCGTGTTTTTTCTTCTTGTTTTTCTGCTCTTCTGTTTGTACTTGATTTTTTTTATTTTCTTTGTCTTCTTTTTTTCTTTTCTTCTTTTTCTTGTTAGCCTTTTTCATCTTTTTATCTTTCTTTGAGATTTCTTCTCTCTTTTCACACTCTATTTGTAGCTCATATCTAAAATTTTAGATGTGCTGATGAAATCTCTTGCCCAACTTATTAAGTGCTACACTTATTACTTTGCTGGCTACTTTTTTGCTTTAGAGCATGTTTTTTAATCTTTGTTTTTGCTTTTTCTTAATTAGACCTCTAATTATGTGACTTCTTGCTTCTATCTGTTCTGTATTAAATGTGCTAAAAATATTTTCTTTAATTGTATCTCTAGTTGGTATTCTTTCAGCAAATTCTTTCTTTTTTATAATTTTCTCTATTTCATCACATGTTTCTTTTTCTATTATACTCTATATGTCTTGATAGTTTATGCAGCTTGTTAAATGATCTATTGTTTCTGGTTTTTCTAGGCACATGATGCACTTGTTGGTCTTGTATAGGTCAGGCTTTCTAGACTTAAGCTTCATCATTGTTAGCAGTACTTCATTTAAATATTTCACTCTAAATGTCCACTTATTATTTGTTTTATTATCTAAACAATTGTTACTTTTTACCTCTTTTATATATTTTCATGTTTCCCTCCAATCTAAACTATCATTACTTTCCTCCTCTACTCATCTCTTCATTTTACTTAATCCTGCCTATTCTGCATCTAGAACCATTGTTATGATCCAATTTACAAAACTTCTAATAGGCTTATCTACTTTTAACTCTTTCCACCTAGGTACAACGTATATTAGCTTGGTTCATGGTAGCCATACTTCGATGACCTTGTTTGATCTTGCACCTTCTTTTACTAGTTTATCTGCCTCTTTATTTCCTTCTATTCCGCTGTATTCTTTTACCTTGTGTAGTTCAAACTTTAATCGCTTTCTTTTTCTTATATGTTCTATTTGTCCCAAAATACTTCTGTTCTTTATTTTGAGGTAGCTGCGTATTTTCCTTATTTCTGCTATTTTTTGAACTGCTTGAATTGCTGCTTGGCTATCTGAATATATCTTTATAGATGCTCCTTCTGGCAAGACTAAAAGCACAGTCAGGATTGCGTCTAGTTCTGCCCTTGTTGATGAGGGCCAGCCTATCATAGCGCAATTAAAATCTGCTATCTTCTTTAATGGTCTTTCTTCTTGCGTCTGTAGGATTCACTCTACTCCCATCTTGGTTTTACTTGCTGTTTCTTGCTGTTCTAGTAGTGAGTCATCAGTATATGCTTCAAATGTTTTGTACTTTATAATATCTTCTAAAATTGCTGTTAGCTCTGCTACTGCTTCTATTCCGTCTATATAGCTTTATGTTATAAAATATTTTTAATATTAAAAAAAAATAATAATAAAATAATTTATAATTTTTGAAGTATATGTGAGAATTCTGAATAAAGATGATTATTTTTGTTTGTTCTTTTAAATTTTTCATCTTTTGTTTCATCTGCAATATCTAATTCAAAATCTTCATTGTAATTAAATCTTTTTCTTCTATATTGTTAGATTTCTTTTTATTAAGTGATTCTTGATAATTTTGTTAAATTTCAAACTGTTGTTGATTAATAATATCTTGATAGATTTCTATTTGTTCTTGATCAATATTATTATTTTCTTGTTCAATTTGTTTTGATTTTTCAATATATTTTCTTTTTTTTCTTTTACAAGTATAATTTGAGTCATCTGAATGTAAATTAGAATCATAATTCAATTCATTGATTGATAGTTTTCTTTTACTTAATTCTTCAAGAGGAGGTCTGATTATTCTGTCAATAAGCTAGTCTTTCAATCTTAAGGTTTCTTTCTTTTTTTATTTTTTTATTATTTAATTTTTATAATATTACTGAAAAAGCTATTTAAACAGAAGAAATTTCATCTTTATGTTCTAGAGGATTTTCTTTTAAATTTTTTCTTTTGATTGCTTTATATTCATTCGTATTTTGATATATTCTTTTAGTATTATAAATTTTTGGATAATACAGTTCAATTGGCCCAAAAATATATTTGTTTTTATCAATTATATAATATTTTTTCTAGTAATAAATACTATCTAATTCTTCAAATCTACCATACTTTTTTTCTAATATTTTTCTTGTTTTTTCTTCTGTAATATTATGATTAAATTTGATTTCAAAGTTAAAATTAAAAAAATCTTCAGGTGATCCTTTATGAAAGATCATTCGAATTTTACAATACAGACATTCTTTTCTACATAGTTTTTTATTATCCTCTCTAAATTTTTTAAACTTTACAATATAATCTAATTAATTTGCAAATGAACCAAATAATTTTGTATTATTAAATTTCTGTTCTGATATAGGTTTTAATTTCTCATCTTTACAAAAATCATAAATAAATCTAACATTTGTGTTAGCAGAAAATCTAATCACTTTAGAACAAAAATTTTCATTTTCATGACCTTTTATTTGGACGCTATAGTCTTTTGGATCAAGTAAATTTAAAAGTTCTAAATATTTGATCTGATCTTTGAATTCATTAATCAAAACTTCTTCATATAAGCTATTAAAATCTTGCCAAAATCTTCTATCAGTACTTTTATGTTCATATGTATTTGGAAAAAGTTAAAAATAAATAACCTTTTTCAACTTGACTTTTGTCACTATAAAAAAATATTGTTGCAAGCTTTCAACACTGCTTGTTTTTCTTTTTTTCAATATTTTTTATAGCTTGATATAATGTATAGATATGATTTGATTTATTTTCTACCCATCTGGAATTATTTTGTGTATTTTCTACAATAATTTCATCATTAGATTTATTTTCAATAAATAAATCATTCATTATTTTTTCAGAGTTTTCTTTAGTATATTAATTATTTTTATTAGAGTTGTTTGGTTTTTTTTTATAATTTTCTAGTATATAATATAATGGCTCAGATTCAGAATCATATTTTACTAAAATACATTTAAGCAAAATTTTATTTTCTGGATTTTCTGGATCAACTGTTTCAAGACCAGCACCTTTAATTTTATATCTTGGATCATTTCTATCAACTAGTTTTCGATTGTGTTTGTCACATTTGTTGTAATCTTTTTTACAATATGCAACAGAATCTTTAATGCTTTTTACAGAATCGTACATTATTTGTTTGTAATTTTTTATAAATACTAGGCAATCTTGTTTGATTTACTAAAGTAAAAACTGCTTGAATATAATAATCTCATTCTTGTTTTGCATTATAACTCTTTTTATATTGATAAATGAATTCTTTAAATGGTCAAGTTTTATAATTAATAAAAAAGTTTTTTATTAAAAAATCAAATTGTTTACGATCAAAATAATATGAATTAAAATTAAGTTTTGTGATTTTGGTTTCATTTTTTGTTATTTTGAATATCTAATAAAATTATCTAACTGTCTATAATTAGAATATTAGTCTTTATATATATAATTTTTAATATATCAAATGAACTAACTCAGTATATAAATCATCAGTTAACTTAGAAATTGCTAAATTGATTTTTTATATAATGTATTCTATACCCAATATGTATTAATTTACAATACTATTTTTCTATATGTTTAAAGAAAATACTCATCTTATGGCACTAATTTACACAAAATTTTATTAATAAAACTTGAAAAACTTTTCTATAATGATTGTTCAGCAAGACTTTAACTATTAGAATCTTAATTTTTAAGTAAAACAGACAAAATTCATTGAGATATTTAGATTTGTGTAAAAAGAAACAATTATGAATTTTTTATTTTTTCTTTTGTAAAGAATCAATTTTGAAAGCACTTTCTTATAATAAAATCTACTGCATAATGATAATAGAATTTGTTTGTATATGATTCATTTATTGTTATCTAAAATTTCAGGTTTCTAGCTTTGATACTCATAAAATTAAAACATTTTTTCTATTTTTTTCTATAGACAGAATTTTTTTTTGATGAAATTACCGTTTTTAAACAACCTATTGTACAATTATAACAAGATTTTTAGAGAATATTTCACTTTATTCAAATCTAAATTTTCAGATTAATATCTCAAAAACTTGTGAAGTTATGACAAATTTAATAAAAAATTAACATAAATATTTTTCTTAATTTTTTCTTGCAGAAATTATTTTGCGGAAGTCATTTCTTTAAATGAAACAAGTAAAACTATTATAATAGCATTTTTAGGTATACTATTTAGCTAACTTTGTGTGAAATTTCAGAGTATTTAGTTAAGAATTGATGAAATGATTGAATTTTTTCGTTTGTCATCTAGATTCGAGATTATAGCTGTAATGAAGATGTTTTTAGAAATGATCTTAGTAGCAAAATTTTTTTCTTGATTCTAAATTTATTATTGTGCATTAATATCATTAGTAAAGAACTATGATAAGATTTTGTCTGTGAAATTTGAGATTAAACAAACAAGAATTCATCAAATCACTTTAGTTTTTCATTATGTTTTTATAGACATTCTATAGTTGAGAGAAGCAATTTCAACAAGTTTCTCATTATATTTTTATAGATAATTAAATTTGAGAGAAACAATTTTAACAAGTTTCTTAATAACTATCTTATAGTTCTATTCAAGTAATAATTCTTATTTATTATTTTTATAATCTGTCTAAAAAAATTTTCTAGCATGAATTAAAAGTGTCTAGCTTGATCATCAGGCAAAATTATAATTTTGTTTTAGGCTAAAGATCTATAATTTCAGCCTAAATTAGAGGTGTTTAGTGTCTATATCTATATTTATAAAAAAAAAAAATTATTATAAATCATTTGTCTAATTTTTAGACACTATACTAGAGTTAATTATTTATATACTAACTACTATTATTATGTCTAATATTAGTGTTTTATAAAGCAATGGTAAAGTAAATATTTTTTATAAGTTTATAATAATTTTTATATGCTTTTTTATATATATAATTTTTTAAAAATAAAATTAAAAAGGGTGTGATAACTTAGTGTAGTTGGTAAGTTGTCATACCCCTAAGTGGCAGAACAAGAGTTTGAATCCCACTAGCAATGAAATTCGAATTTATAAAAATGCGTTATGGTAAAACTGTATGATATATCGATCGGGTTAGCACCTATAATCTTGGTTTCACCAACTTGTATTAGGAGATTGTAGAATATAGTATAATGTATAAGTTATACAAAGCCTGAATAAAGTAGCCAAATAAATCTAAGGGATCAGAAGATACAGAAGTTCACTTGGGAAGTCCTGAGTAGAGAGGTAGCACAGATCTTTGATAGCACTATATAAAGGGATATCATCTGAAGAACCAGATACTGAAGGTAAACTGAATGAGGACTGAGTATTTGGCAAGTACTATACTAACCAGGCCGCCAAATTAGCTAGAAAAAAAAGAATTCATTTGGAATACTAGAGAATGCTTACTGGTCCCTTCTAGGCCATCTGGATTAGAAGTTTAGAGTACTGACAATTGGTATCGAAGTACTGTTGATAGACTATAAAGTGTATATTGGGGTTTGAATAAACTTTATAAGGGCACAGAGTAGGTAATGGTAGCAGAGGTAAAAAGCTGCAAGTACTTAGCCACAGCCTAGGTATAAATTATTAAAAATCTAGATGATACATGTGTGGAATATTAACCGTTCTGGTAGGTTTACATGAGGATAAAAGACCTCCTATATGGTAGTGTATGTCTGCTTTAAAGTCTTAAGGGGCTTATATAGCAGTTCCTTTTTAGTGAGAATATCCTGATAGTGCTAAGTTGATCAGAGAGTTTAATTGAGTAACTCAAGTAATAATGGATTACAGGTACAGCATCTAGTGTAGTTTATATAGGTTATATATGCAAGACTGCTTAAATAGACAACCAAAAGTTGTATATATGGCTAAAATATATTCTTGTTAATGTAACAAAGTCAGGAATAGCCTATGTAGTTGCCCTGGCATTCGATCCAAAGTTCAATAAAATGTGCCAAACTCCAAAGTGATCACCTTAACATTAAAAAAAAAAAAAATTAAAAGCCGGATTGCTAGTTTATTTTACAAATTTTATATTATGAGGACTAAAAAATTAACTTTGTATAGTCTAATATAAAACTTTATCGATCTTGGAATCATGTAATTAGAATTGGATGATTTTGGATTCATTTGAATTCTCTCTTTGAAAGAATTATTTTGGTGGTTAAATCATCTAAATTAGTTTAGTAAATCAAAAATTATTTAATTTTAAAATTTTATTTATATATAATAATAATTATATATTGTCGCAGCTGATGCTGGAAACGGCTGATGCTGGAAATCATGTGATAAATGATGATCATCTGCAATTGTCGAATTTGATTACGTCAGTCATCTACTATCGTCAAATGATGTGCGTCAT